ATGCATACAAGAAATGATTGTGTTATCTGCGTTTTTTTAGTTCATTTCCATTCCCAAGCCTTTTCTTATGATATTTACAACCATGATGGAGTGGCTTCACCCTATAGACAATTATCAGAAAGCTTATATCAATAATAGCAACGATTGAGTCTAGAGTTACTTTTGATGGTCATGTTTGCAACCTAAGTAGAGGTTATACGAGTTTGTTAATATTTAAGTAGAGGTTATATGACCATGTTTCCATCTATGAGATCATCTTTTAACACTACCGCTTCGCTAGTCGGTTATGTAACCTTTTCTCTGTGATCTTCTTCCATGGATTGCAGGTAATTCGGTTAGCAAACACTAATCCAGGCGTCCAATTTGCTTGCGTTGTTATAGGTTTCAGCTTATGAATACTTGATTAGTAAAGGTGGAAAGGTAACAGAGAATATGTGTTCAACTTGATTGAGTTGATGAATGAGCTGCTGAAATTGGATGGGAGTAAGGGGATAAAGATGTCAAACTATAGAGGAAATTGCAGGTGTAAATACTTCAAATATTTTACCCCTCTTCAACATCATAAATTTAGTCATGCTTTGAGTTCTAATTGGCTAAAATTCTACAAGTGAAGAGAGTTGAGAAGTATGTAGATACAGTGAACATGTTAAAGGTAAATAACTCATCTTTCACAAACCGCAATAGAACCCACCGCAACAAATCAAACAACCATCAACGCAAGCAAATCAATGGACATAGGTTAGCTTCAATTGAGGAATTTTCATCAATGTACTCTAATGGCGACCAACACTGACTCGCTCTGACTATCACAATAAAATCCCACATAAGCAGCCAAAGCTACCCTCTTAACCTCTAGGTTGAGGAATGGGATACGATCCAACCCACTAATGCGACCCTCTCAACCTATCAACTAAGGAATGGTTAGACTCCACCCTCGAATTGGAGTTCGGACGGCCACCCACAACCAAACCCTAAGTGCTAATGCGAAACAGGAGCTTTGCCCTTTAACCAACCTAGAATAGGAGGCATAAAATGCCCAAGAAAACCCATCTCTAATTGAGCCTCTTAGGTTAAGTAGGGTTCTCTCTAAACTAGCTTAGGAGGCATTGAATTCCCAAGGAAACCCATCTCGAAATGAGCCTCTTATGTTAAGGAGAGTTCTCTCGAAACTAGTTTAGGAGGCATTGAATTCCCAAGGAAACCCAGCTCGAACGGAGCCTCTTTGGGTAAAGGAGGTTTCCTCTCTAAACTAGCCTAGGAGGCATGAAATGCCCAAGAACAACCATCTCAAATTGAGCCTCTTAACCTAAGGAGGTGTCCTCTCTAAACTAGGTTAGAATGGCAATTAGATTGATAGGCTTTCACACAACATAATCATTTCTGAATAATACCTCCATATTCACATTAAAACACAACCGCACACAAATGATTCAATTCATACAAGCATTCACATAATTGTAGCTATGGTTTACAAACAACCAAGTGAAAGAAGGGACTACTCGATGCTAGGAGAAGGGAATACACAAGAGAGGGAAAGGAAAACCATCAAGAAGATGCAAGCCTTGCTCCTTGTGCTGAAAAATCCTCCTTTGGGGAAGGAATTCCCAAAACCTTTCTTGGAGATGAAACTCTAGCTTTTCCTCTTCTTTGGTTCGTCACTTTCTCACTCTAAAATCTAAATAAGAAGAAGTTTCTCACACTCTTCTCTCTCCCTTTCTTCTTCCTTTTAGCAAGCCTTTTAAGTTGAGGCCGCGCCCAATTCACGGCCTGAGTTCACGTCCGTGAACATTGAAACGCTTCCGTAAACTCAGTGCTGAGACCCAAACGCACTATTTCATTGGCTAGGGTTCACGGTCTTATCTACCGTAAATAGCCTAGGCGTCAGTTACCTAAAAACCCACCATGGACGCTCATTGGTTCACGGTTTTTGGCTCCAGTTCACGGCCCTGTGTGACCGTGAACTCCAACGCCAGGCCGTGAACATTGGCTGTCTCCACCTCTTTGCCCTGTCTTTGCTCCTTTTCTTTCAACTTTCAAATATGGGTTTGGTTTTACCTGTTAGGATCTGAAACACACTAAAACACAAGCAACCTCGCGTAAAAATAACCTTTTTGGAGTTCAATTAAAACAAACGTCAAAGAGAATCAGGGATAAAAAGTGTACAATTAGGCCTGAATCCCTCCCCCACACTTAGACGTTTGCTTTTCCCCAAGCAAACCATTTCACACAAGGTAATCTCTCAACCTAAAACAATGCTATGGGGACAAATCAAAGGGCACAAAGTGGCGAATCTCATTGGCTATTGGCAATTAACACATGGACCGTTGCAAGCAATACTGACATCCACCACAAACAACATTCGAGGTCACCAAAACGGGTAAACAAAAAGTTCTCACCTTGTTCACGAATCAATGAAAGTATCAACAAGATCACTATTGACACGCTAAAACGAACACCAAACTGCGACCAAGTGTAATCGCAGTCCAGAAATGCAGTAATAGGAAAGCTCTATTTGTCAACCCGGGGTCTAGATCTACTGCCTACTCCATGAATATCAATTAACAAGAAAACTAAGTCAAGTGATTGTGATTTTAGCTAAAAGCAGTAAGAAAGCAGGAAATGGTTCAAAGTATTTTAGCAAGGGAAGAGTCACTCGGGAATGAGTCCCCCTAGCTCCTTAGTTAGGTCGAGGTTGTAATTACCCTGGGTTGATTAACTGTTGATTAAACTGCGGAAGATCCGACAGTAGCTTGGAATCTCTTAAGCTGACCAAGCCCTCTTAGTCCAACTACCCGGAAGACGACTAGTCTTCACCGGGATAGAAAGCTGAGGCTATGAACGCAGAACACCACTACTGGAACTGAACTCCAGTACAAAGCAGTGAATCGACTAACTCTCGTATAATCGATTCGCTACTATCGATTAAAGAAGCTCTAACAACCTAATCAGATTCTATCTATCTCAGGTTGCAGCAGAAATCAATAAAAGATGATCAGGCTTCAATTGACTCAATGAATCATGCATCAATCGATTATAATCAATCAGTATAACAATCCCAAGTCATTACAATATAGATCCCTAACACATGGAACTAAGGTTCTTCATACACGAGAGAAGGTTCTACTCCATAGAGAGAGAGGAAAACAGAAATCAGAGTAGTCATACTCATAAAGATGAGGAAAATCTGCTTTGGGATGATGATCTTCACTCCTATGATGATCTCCAAGCTCGATTGATGAAACCTAGCTCCAAAATCACTTCTAGGATGTGTTCTTTGCACTTTCTCTCTCTAGGGCTGTATTTCTAGCTCAAAAACTCGATTCCCACTCATTTGGCTTCAAAATTGGGTTAAAATCCAGAATTTCCCGACCACACGGCCGTGTGGATTCCCAGTTTGCCCGTGTGAGAATGGAAACGCCTTGTTCCACTTAAGTGGTCTTAAGGCATGCTGCACGGCCAGAGGCACACGGCCGTGTGGATTTCCAGTCTGGTCGTGTGTGCTCCCTGGACTTTCCACATGGCCACAAGGGGCCCAATACACGGCCAGTGCAATTTGCCCGTGCAAAGTGGTGCCACACGTCCGTGTGGAATTTTAGGCGTGCCCGTGTGGGTTCCTCAGCTTCTCGCCAAACGTCCAATCTTCGTCCAATCGACCCCGAACTCGTTCCCAAACCTTCATTCACGTACTAGGACCTGAAATATCACAAACAATAACAACCTAGCTTGAAATCGGCCTAAAACACGAGAAATAAGACTCAAACGGTATAATAATGGTGGACAAAAACATGTGTATATATCAAGTCATCAAACTCCCCCTCACTTAACCGTTTGCTTGTCCCCAAGCAAACCAAGTCAGATACAAGGTATGCTCAACATATTTCAATCATACCAACATTGGGGACAAATCATATAGGCACAGAACACGTGAATCATACGGCTTTTGATCATTGCGATATGGACAACTCAACAGCAACATAGACAACCACTACAGAGGACATTCAAGTGCAGCAAAATCGGGTGAAGGAAGAGGAATCCTTTTTGTTCACCAAACAACATAGACTTGACTCAACCACTTGACTAAGACAGTCATCGCATGCATCAAACTCAAGACATCAGCTTCTAAATGTTAGAGCTCACACAAGGCACCACTAACTAATCCGGAGGTCTTAGACAAGGTTCAAGTGACTGGCTAGGGTCTTGGACATGGGGAAAAGGCCTTTTAGGTGGTGGAAGTATTCATAGCACAACGTTCCACAATTCCAAACCCAACACATTCACAGCCAATCAAACCAATTACTTCCTTTCTGCCATTTTGCATTACTCAAATTCTCTAGAGCACAAGAGCGAAGGAGGTCACATAAATGTTAGTATTTTCAAGCCAGACTTCTAAGAAACACTACTTAATGGGCATAATTCTGAAGTTTGGGTAGTGGCTCTCTTTTGCTTTCATTCATTCTTTTTCTTTTTTTTTTCTTCATTTTTTTCGTTTCTTGAGAGAACCACCACCTCTGCACATTTTTCAAACACATGCCCAATTTTTAAGCATTACCTCCAACCCTCACATTAATTTTAGCAGAAAAAGCAGAGAACATGCAAAAACCACTCTGTGGAACCTTCTAAGAGATGCAAAAGGGTGATTTTCCATTGTAGACCGAAAGAAAGAAAAGTACACGGTTCAAAGGGGATGACTAGGAGATATGACACACCAGGACAGTCAATTTGGTCGTGGGCTAATCCTATGCCTTCATCATCTTAGCTAGTGATAACGTGAATGCTACACATCATGGAAGAGGAATCTATCGCCCAAGAAAGAAACGAGCATACTCAATTCTCACATGGCTACCTATATGCTCTATATCTCATTCTGATTCCCTGAACTAGATGCATAACCGACTGTAGAAAATAACTTATCAATCCAAGTCACAGTTGGTAATCAAATAGTTGTAAAACTGAACCCATACACAACTCTACTGCACGTCTCAGTCATCATCATAGGTTGTCCTTGTTACAATCCTGTATTCATGCATTAATTCGAAAGCCATTCGATTCACCCATCAAATCTACAATGCCAATATGATCATGCAAACTTTTGTACTTGGAGCCCTCAAATCTCGAGATTTGGACAGCGGACTAGGCTCCAAGAACACACATATATGTTCCAATAAAGACAAAGCACCCCCACACTTAAGTTCGACATTGCCCTCAATGGAGCAGAGGGAAGGGGAACGATGTTACCAGGAAATGATGAGCGGGAATGGTGACTAGAAGGCAGACCAGTCAATAGTAGGAGACTGGAATGGACCAGTCCAACTCGCACAGAGCTAGAGTCATGAAAACACACACACGGGTTGAAAGAAACCATAGTTCCAAGTGGAAACCGAAAAAAAACAAAATAAAAACAAACCGTGGTGGGGTTGCCTCCTCACAAGTGCTTGTTTACCGTCGTGATCCGAATGGTGACTCCTACGTTTTGGTCCATGCTAGAACTTCCTTGAAGTTGAGGTTCTCGTCGATGATGTGGAGTCTCAAGTCACAAGCAGGTGGTATGACATGTGATGTAGGCTAGTGTACTTGATGAATAAGAAGTCTCCACCCGCGAGACCTCTTCTTTTCTTCCTCACTCATCTCATTGCCCCAAACCAGATATGACAGCATCGACCGACCACCATTGCGTCCACCAAGAGGGACCGATGTCGATGTGGCCTTGGTCTGGCAAAGAGACACTGCAAATGGGTCCTTTCCAAGCAGCTCCTCGAAGTTTGGTGGAGATATCACATGTAACTCCTGGCCGGTGCAAGCCTCTTCCACCTCAACTTCATCCTTAGCCTGGACACCAATTGCTTCTGCAACCCCCCTTCCTTCATCAGAATGTGGTTTCTCCCCTTGGAAAAGATCAAGAACTACCTCTTCTTTGATTTCTTCCTCATACTCCACAACTTCTTTCCTCATCCTTGCTCTCTCTTCTTCTTCCCGAACAGATTGGAGAGCAAGTTGCCAAGCAATTTCTTCAATGGGATCATCTTGCATCTCCTCGCATGGGCCCAACATGTTTTGCAGAAATGAGGAAAGGTGTGATCTGCCACCAGAGGACTTTCCTTATCATGATTATCATGGGAGTTCTCTATGATAACTTATGTATGCTCCTCAACGTCCTCATGATTGTCTTCTCTTTCCTCCTTCTCTATTTGTATGGCAGCATAAAGGTTGTCTTGAGAAAACTGTGCACAAGCTTTCTCAATGACCTCTATGTGCTTCTTTATGCTCCGAAGGGTATCCTCTGTTTCATGGGGAAAGTAGAAGTCAGATTGGGCAATGGCCTGGATATGAGGATCCATCTCAGGAAAGGATCTCTCAGGTACTCAAGCAATCTGCTCCACGAGAAGCCTCAAGTGATAGTTTGGATCTGGCGGTGGAGTGTAGCATGAATCTGCTGGATGGCCCGAGAAGGCTGTGGCTAAATCAAGATCTGTTGGCCCTTCTAGTTGTGGGAGGAATTCTCCTTGATAATGAGATTGTTCTTGAAATACCCAAGGGTCTGATTGTTCTTAGTAGTAGAGGGGTTGGTACTGAAACTCGACTCCATAGTCTTCTCCTCATTGGTTGCTCCAGAAAGTCTCGGGGTAATAACACTCGGGTGGTGGTGGATACCCCCAATGGTTGGAGAAGCCATGAGGATCCATGTATCAGATCTGCACCAACAAAAACAAAATATCCAAGTGAAAAGCAAGGGTGGAAAAGAGAGGATGCATAAAAGATGCTAAAGTAACAAACTTTAACGTTTCTACAATAACCTAGAAGTTCCCCGACAACGGCGCCAAAAACTTGACACGCTAAAACGCAACACCAAACTACGACCAAGTGTAATCGCAGTCCGGAAATGCAGTAACAGGCAAGCTCTATTAGTCAACCTGGGGTCTAGATCTACTGCCTACTCCGTGAATATCTATTATCTAGCAAACTAAGTCGAGTGATTATGATTTTAGCTAAAAGCAATAAGAAAGCAGGAAATGGTTCAAATTTCTTTAGCAAGGGAAGAGTCACTCGGGAATGAGTCCCCCTAGCTCCTTAGTTAGGTCGAGGTTGTAATTACCCTGGGTTGATTAACTGTTGATTAAACTGCGGAAGATCCGACAGTAGCTTGGAATCTCTTAAGCTTACCAAGCCCTCTCAGTCCAACTACCCGACAGACGACTAGTCTTCACCGGGATAGAAAGCTGAGGCTATGAACGCAGAACTCCACTACTGGAACTGAATTCCAGTACAAAGCAGTGAATCGACTAACTCTCGTATAATCGATTCGCTACTACCGATTGAAGAAGCTCTAACAACCTAATCAGATTCTATCTATCTCAGGTTGCAGCAGAAATCAATAAAAGATGATCAGGCTTCAATTGACTCGATGAATCATGCATCAATTGATTATAATCAATCAGTATAACAATCCCAAGTCATTACAATATAGATCCCTAACACATGGAACTAGGGTTCTTCATACCCAAGTCAGAGAAGGTTCTACTCCATAGAGAGAGAGGAAAATAGAAATCAGAGTAGTCATACTCATAAAGATGAGGAAAATCTGCTATAGGATGATGATCTTCACTTCTATGATGATCTCCAAGCTCGATTGATGAAACCCAGCTCCAAAATAACTTCTAGGATGTGTTCTTAGCACTTTCTCTCTCTAGGGCTCTGCTTCTTGCTCAAAAATTTGATTCCCTCTCCTTTGGCTCGAAATTGGGTTAAAATCCAGAATTTCCCGACCACACGGCCGTGTGGATTCCTAGTTTGCCCGTGTGAGAATGGAAATATCGCGTTTCACTTAAGTGGTCTTCAGGCATGCTGCACGGCCAGAGGCACACGGCCGTGTGGATTTCCAGTCTGGTCGTGTGAGCTCCCTGGACTTTCCACATGGCCACAAGGGGTCGAATACACGGCCAGTGCGATTTGCCCGTGCAAAGTGGTGCCACACGGCCAAGTCACAAGGCCGTGTGGAATTTTAGGCGTGCCCGTGTGGGTTCCTCAACTTCTCGCCAAATGTCCAATCGACCCCGAACTCGTTCCCAAACCTTCATTCATGTACGAGGACCTGAAATATCACAAACAAGAACAACCTAGCGTGAAATCAACCTAAAACACGAGAAATAAGACTCAAACAGTATAAGAATGGTGGAAAAAAACATGTGTATATATCAAGTCATCAAATTCCCCCACACTTAACCGTTTGCTTGTCCCCAAGCAAACCAAGTCAGATACAAGGTAAGCTCAACATATTTCAATCATACCAACATTGGGGACAATTCATATAGGCACATAACACGTGAGTCATACTACTTTTGATCATTGCGATATGGACAACTCAACAGCAACCTAGACAACCACTATAGAGGACATTCGAGTGCAGCAAAATCGGGTAAAGGAAGAGGAATCCTTTCTGTTCAACAACCAACATAGACTTGACTCAACCACTTGACCAAGACAGTCATTGCATGCATCAAACTCAAGACATCAGAATCAAGACCGAGCCATCTAGGTCCTCACCGGGGTAAAGAGCATAAAGAACAAGGAAATGAATCGCTCACTCTCGACCAGTAAGGTTAGGACACCTTGATGCGAAAACTGCGCATGCTTATTCTCTCAAATCCTAACATCTCTTCACCATGATGGCAGCCTCTAAATGTTAGAGCTCACACAAGGTATGTCACCACTAACTAATCCGGAGGTCTTAGACACAGGTTCAAGTGACTGGCTAGGGTCTTGGACATGGGGAAAAAACCTTTTAGGTGGTGGAAGTATTCATAGCATAAGGTTCCACAGTTCAAAACCCAACACATTCACAGCCAATCAAACCAGTTACTTCCTTTCTGCCATTTTGCATTACTCAAATTCTCTAGAGCACAAGAGCGAAGGAGGTCACATAAATGTTAGTATTTCCAAGCCAGACTGCTAAGAAACACTACTTAATGAGCATGATTCAGAATTTTGGGTAGTGGCTCTCTTTTGCTTTCTTTCATTTTTTTTCTTTTTTTTTTTCTTCATTTTTTTCATTTCTTGAGAGAACCACCACCTCTGCACATTTTTCAAACACATGCCCAATTTTTAAGCATTACCTCCAACCCTCACATTAAATTTAGCAGAAACAGCAGAGAACATGCAAAAACCACTCTGTGGAACCTTCAATGAGATGCAAAAGGGTGATTTTCCATTGTAGACCGAAAGAAAGAAAAGTACACGGTTCAAAGGGGCTGACTAGGGGGTATAACACACCAGGAAAGTCAATTTGGTCGTGGGCTAATCCTATGCCTCCATCATCTTAGCTAGTGACAACTAGAATGCTACACATCATGGAAGAGGGATCTATTGCACAAGAAAGAAACGAGCAGGCTCAATTCTCACATGGCTACCTATATGCTCTATCTCTCATTCTGATTCCCCGAACTAGATGCATAACCGACTGTAGAAAATAACTGATCAATCCAAGTCACAGTTGGTAAGCAAATAGTTGAAAAACTGAAACCATACACAACTCTACTGCACGTCTAAGTCATCATCATAGGTTGTCCTAGTTACAATCCTGTTTTCATGCATTAATTCGAAAACCATTCGATTCACCCATCAAATCTACAATGCCAATATGATCATGCAAACTTTTGTACTTTTAGCCCTCAAATCTCTAGATTTTGACAGCGGACTAGGCTCCAAGCACACACATATATGTTCCAATCAAGACAAAGCACCCCCCCCCCACACACACACACACACTTAAGTTCAAAATTGCCCTCAATGGAGTAGAGGGAAGGGGAACGATGTTACCAGGAAATGATGAGCGAGAAGGGTGACTAGAAGGAAAATCAGTCAAAAGCAGGAGACTAGAATGGACCAGTCCAACTGGCACAGAGCTAGAGTCATGAAAACACACACACTGGGTGAAAGAAACCATAGTTCCAAGTGGAAACCGAAAAAAAAACAAAATAAAAACAAACCGTGGTGGGGTTGCCTCCCCACAAGCGCTTCTTTACCGTCATGATCCGGATGGTGACTCCTACATTTCGGTCCATGCTAGAACCTCCTTGATGTTGAGGTTCTCATCGATGATGTGGAGTCTCAAGTCACAAGCAGGTCGTATGACAGGTGATGTAGACTCATGTACTTGATGAATATGAAGTCTCCACCCGCGAGACCTCTTCTTTTCTTCCTCACTCGTCTCATTGCCCCAAACCAGATATGACAGCATCGACCGACCACCATCGCATCCACCAAGAGGGACCGATGTCGATGTGGCCTGGGTTTGGCAAAGAGACATTGCAAATGGGTCCTTTCCAAATGGGTCCGTGTGGGTTCCTCATCTTCTCGCCAAACGTCCAATCTTTGTCCAATCGACCCCGAACTCGTTCCCAAACCTTCATTCACATACTAGGACCTGAAATATCACAAACAAGAACAACCTAGAGTGAATCTGCCTAAAACACGAGAAATGAGACTCAAACGGTATTAGAATGGTGGACAAAAACATGTGTATATATGAAGTCATCACTTATTAACCACAACTAACCATGCATAAAATTATAAGTCCAAGGAACAAACGAATGGGCAACAAAGGTCCTCACTGGGGTATTATGTGACATGCAAAGCAAAAATTAATCACTCACTCTCTTCACTAGTGGGATCGGGACCTTTTTGGTGCAAAGAATGTGAACAATCATCAACACTCGGCCCTATCGTCTCTTCAACACGGTGGCAACCTCTAATGTTAGAGTTCACGGGACGGTTGGCATCACTAGCTTGTCCGCAGGTCTTAGACACGAGTTCAAATAACTGGAAATTGTTTTTGACATGGGGAAAAGGAGTTTTGGGTTGTGGCAAACACATCATGAGGTCCTACATCTTCACCCTAAACCTGGAGGTTCTATGTTTTCGACTAAGAACCTTCCCAACAAACAATGGACACTAGCATCGGCCAAAAACCTTGCTTATCCCTTCCAACCTATCACCCATCATGAACGACCTTTAAGCGCTCTTCCTCGCTCTACTCTTGCTATCACATTTTGAATTGTTAGTGAAGGAGTTCTAAAACAATGTGGCGGTGTCAGTGACTTGAATACCAAGAAACCCAATGAGAGCATTGATGACTTGATATTTACACATGTTTTTGTCCACCATTCTTATACTGTTTGAGCCTCGTCTCTCGTGTTTTAGGCCGATTTCACGCTAGGTTGTTCTTGTTTGTGCTATTTCAGGTCCTAGTACGTAAAGGAAGGTTTGGGCACGATTTCGGGGTCGATTGAACGAAGTTGGGACGTTTGACGAAAAGCAGAGGAAACCACACGGGCTGACCTAAATTCCACACGGCCGTGTGACTTGGCCGTGTGGAACCCCTTTGCGCGGGCAAAGCCACACTGGCGGTGTAAGGGCCCTTTCTGGCCGTGTGGGATTTCCAGAGAATTCACACGGGCATGCAATATTTCTACACGGACGTGTGGTTTAGGCCGTGTAGCGTACTTTGTGTCACTTAATCAAACGCCGCATTTTGAAACGTCACACTGGCAGCTGGGGATTTCACGCGGTCATGTGGCCTGGCCGTGTGATCGGGCATAACTGGGTATTTAACCCAATTTCGGGTCATTGAAGGGGGAGATGATTTTCCAGAGCAAAAACAGAGTCCTAGAGAGATAAAGTGCGAAGAACAAACCCTATAGATGATTTTGGAGCTGGGTTTCATCAATCAAGCTTGGATTTCATCCTTGGAGTGAAGATTATCATCCCAAAGCAGATTATTCCCATCATTATGAGTATGACTGCTTTGTATTTTGTTTTCCTCTCTCCCTCTCTCTATGGATTAGAAATCTCTCACTTGGATATGAAGAAACCTAGTTCCATGTGGATATTGATTGTAATGACTTTTAGATTGATATACTGTTCTCTTATAATCGATTGATGCATGATTCATTGAGTCAATTGAAGCCTGATCAACTTTTCTTGATTTCTGTTGCAACCTGAGATAGATAGAATCTGATTAGGTTGTTGGAGCTTCTTCAATCGCTAGTAGTGAATTGATTATACGAGAGTTAGTCAATTCACTACTTTGTACTGGAATCTAATTCCAATAGTGAAACTCTATGTTAATTGCCTCAGCGTTCTATCCCGGTGAAGTCTAGTCGTCTGCCGGGTAGTCTGTCTGAGAGGGATTGGTCAGCTAAAGAGATTCCAAGCTACTGTCGGATCTTCCGCAGTTTAATCAACAGTAAATCAACCAAAGAAAATTACAAATTTGACCTAACTAAGGAGCTAGGGGGACTCATTCCCGAGTGACTCTTCCCTTGCTAAGAAACTTCGAACCATTTCCTGCTTTCTTACTGCTTTTGTTTTCAATCACTCTCACTACACTTAGTCCCGCTAGATAACAGGTAGTCACGGAATATGCATTAGATCTAGACCCCCGGTTGATAAATTGAACTTGCCACTATTTTGAATTTCCATTCTGCGATTGCACTTGGTCACAGTTTGTTGTTGTGTTTTAGCGTGTCAAGTTTTTGGCGTCGTTGCCGGGGACTCCTAGGTTGTTGGAGAAACGTGAAAGTCTGTTACGTTAGCATTTTTCTTTTCTTTTCCACCCTTGCTTTTCACTTGGGTGTTTTGTTTTTGTTGGTGCAGATCTGAAACATGGATCCTCTTGGCTTCTCCAACCATTGGGGGTATCAACCACCATCTGGCTAGTATTACCCCGAGACTTCCTGGAGCAATCAAGGAGGAGAGGACTATGGATTCGGGTTTCAGTACCAACCCCCTACTATGTAGAACAACCAAAGCCTTGGGAACCTCAATAACAATCTCCTTTTTAAGAAGAATTCCTCCCACAACTAGAGGGGCTTTCTGAGTTGGAGTTAGCCATGGCGGCCTTCACGGGCCATTCTGCAGAGCCATGCTACACTCCACTGGAAGATCCGAACAAACAATTGAGGCTTCTTGTGGGGCAGTTTTCTCGAGACATGGAGAGATCATGCTCCAAGATGGATCTTCAAATCCAAGCCCTTGCCCCTTCTGATCCCTCATTTCTCCATGAAATGGAGGAGGCTGTTCAATGCTCAACGAAGCAAATAGAGTGGGTGGAGCAAGTTTGCGCACAGTCTGCTCAAGATCACCTTTCTGCTACCATACTCGAAGAGGAGGAGGATGACGAAGGCTACGAGGACATTGTGGAGCATATAGAAGTTGTCGCGGAGAGCTCTCGTGATAATCATGATCAGGAATGTCCTGTGGTGGCATATCACACCTTTCCCCATTTCTGCTCTGACAGGATGGGCCCGAGCAAGGAGATGCACGATGATCTTCTTGAAGAAATTGCTTGGTGACTTGCTCTCCAATCGGTGTCGGAAGAAGAAGAACGAGAAAGGGTGAGGAAAGAAGTTATGGAGGATGACAGAAGTGAAGAAAAATGATTTCTTGATCTATCCAAGGGGGTATACCACATTTTGAAGATGGAAGGGGGGGGGGGGGGGTTGAAGAAGCAAGTGGTGTCCAGGTGGAGGATGAAGTTGAGGTGGAAGAGGTTTGCACCGACCATGAGTTACATGTGCTATCTCCATCAAACTTCGAGGAGCTTCTTGGCAAGGACCCATTTGCAGTGTCTCTTTGCTAGACCAAGACCACATCAACATCAATCCCTCTTGGTGGATGAGATGGTGGTCAATCGATGATATCTTATATGGTTTTGGGCAATAAGACAAGAGTAGACGCGAAGGAGAGGTCTCGAGAGTGGAGACTTCATCTTCCTCAAGGCCATGAGCCAGCTTCATCACCTATCACATCACGTGCTTGTGACTAGAGACTCCGCATCATCGACGAGAACCTTAACTTCAAGGAGGTTCTGGGATGGACTGAAACTTAGGACCCACCATCCAACTAAAGACGTAAAAGAAGCGCTTGTGGGGAGGCAACCCCACCATGGTTTGTTTTTCTTTTCTTTCTTTTTGGTTTTTCCGCTTGGAACTATGGTTGCTATCACCCAGTGTGTTTTGATGACTCTAGCTCGGTGCCTTTCCACTGGTCCTCCTTCCAGTCCGCCCTGGCCGACTAGTCCCATTTCTAGTCCCCCGGTAGTCCGTTTTTCCGGTAACATCATTCCCCTTATCTTTCCCTCTGCTCCATTGAGGGAAATGTGGTGCTTAAGTGTGGGTGGGGTGGTTATCTTTGACTGCATAGATGAGTTTGTGTGCTTGGAGCCTAGTCCACTGTCCAATTTGATGAATTGAGGGCTCCAAGTATTGTTCCCTGCAATAACCTGCTCAAAATGCTTTGAATTGACAGTCTTTATGGTGATATGCAACCTAGGGTAGTAGTTGTAGCACTATGGAGGATGTTGAAGTATAATATTTTTCCTATTTGTCTCTCTGTTGTGCCGGTTGATTTTGTGAACTAGTGGATTTAGGACCGTTGATTCATGTGGTATTGATGACTCTCCTTATGTTGTGTTGAGGACTCGTGTATCGGAAATGGGTGCTCAAGTGTGAAATGAAAAAAAAAAAATAGTTGGTCCTCCATGTCAAACTTTGAAATTTCTAAAGCATGGGGTAAGCCCAATGTGTGGCACCGTTCATTGTACAACATCGCGTTTTGGAAGAGATTTTAGTGATCCTTGGTGGGGTAGGCCTACAAGGTGAAGCTAAGTTGTCTCTAGTACAAGTAAAATTTCCACCCGTTGAACGGTTTGCCTACTCGAGGGTGTGTTTTTAAGGGCACAGATAGAGCTTCTGACCCCCCCTTAATTTCATTGACCCTCCACACGAAGTAAGGAATAGGAGTTAAAAGAAGTACTCTGGCGAGCGACAGATGTACATAAATTACTCTTGCTCACCTAATAATGGCAGACCGCGCATACAAACTGCAGTTGGAACCCCAGCAAAGTAAAACAAAAGAAAAAGAAACGAATAGTAAGAAGTAGGGGTTCCAACAAGTGAGATGAAATGAAAGAGCACCCGATACAGAGAGTCATTGGTTGTTGAATTGTGTGAGTCTCATTATCCATGAATTAGTTGTCTTAGTTCCACTGCTTCTCATGATCCTAGCTTGAGTCTAGTACTCGCTTTGAGAGAGATAGGGGACGTCTTAGAAGACCAGTTGACCTCGCAAGCTGCTAAATGATCTAGGAAATCCTCTGCCGACGATGGGGGTTGCATGTTGATATAGAGGCCTGGAGAGCTGCATTGGTTAGAGTCACGTTTGCTTGGGGACAAGCAAACAATTAAGTGTAGGGGAATTTGATGATTTGATATTTACACATGTTTTTCCCACCATTCTTATACTGTTTGAGCCTCGTCTCTCGTGTTTTATGCCGATTTCATGCTAGGTTGTTCTTCTTTGTGATATTTCAGGTCCTAGTATGTGAAGGAAGGTTTGGGCACGAGTTCGGGTTCGATTGGACGAAGTTGGGACGTTGACGAAAAGCTGAGGAAACCACACGGGCTGACCTAAATTCCACACGGCCGTGTGACTTGGTCGTGTGGAACCCCTTTGCCAGGGCAAAGCCACACTGGCCGTGTAAGGGCCTTTTCTGGCCATGTGGGATTTCCAAAGAGTTCACACGGGCATGCAATATTTCTACACGGCCGTGTGGTTTTGGCCGTGTAGCGTACTTTGTGTCACTTAATCAAACGCCGCATTTTGAGACTTCACACGGGCGGCTGGGGATTTCACACGGCCGTATGGCTTGGTCATGTGATCGGGCAGAACTGGGTATTTAACCCAATTTCAGGTCTTTGAAGTGGGAGACGACTTTCCTGAGCAAAAACAGACTCCTAGAGAGAGAAAGTGCGAAGAACAAACCCTAGAGGTGATTTTGGAGCTGGGTTTCATCAATCAAGCTTGGATTTCATCCTTGGAGTGAAGATTATCATCTCAAAGCAGATTATTCCCATCATTATGAGTATGACTGCTTTGTATTTTGTTTTCCTCTCTCTCTCTCTCTCTCTCTATGGATTAGAAATCTCTCACTTGGGTATGAAGAACCCTAGTTCCATGTGTTAGGGATATTGATTGTAATGACTTTTGGATTGATATATTGTTCGCTTATAATCGATAGATGCATGATTCATTGAGTCTATTGAAGCCTGATCAACTTTTCTTGATTTCTGTTGCACCCTAAGATAGATAGAATCGGATTAGGTTGTTAGAGCTTCTTCAATCAGTAGTAGTGAATTGATTATACGAGAGTTAGTCGATTCACTACTTTGTACTGGAATCCAATTCCAGTATGTTAATTGCCTCAACATTCTATCCCGTTGAAGACTAGTCGTCTGCTTGGTAGTCTGTTTGAGAGGGATTGGTCAGCTTAAGAGATTCCAAACTACTGTCGGATATTCCGCAGTTTAATCAACAGTAAATAAACCAAAGGAAATTACAAATTTGACCTAACTAAGGAGCTAGGGGAACTCATTCCTGATTGACTCTTCCCTTGCTTAAGAACTTCGAACCATTTCCTGCTTTCTTACTGCTTTTATTTGCAATCACTCTCACTATACTTAGTCTTGCTAGATAACAGGTAGTCACGGAGTAGGCAGTAGATCTATACCCCGGGTTGATAAATTGAACTTGCCACTGTTCTGCATATCCATTATGCGATTGCACTTGGTCGCAGTTTGGTGTTTTGTTTTAGCGTGTCAAACATATCTCCCTCATCGGCTACCACTCTCGAGTCGAAGGTCTTTCATCCTCGTCTAGGAGGAGTCCCTGGAGATGAGTCATCTTCTCAAGTAGATCGGTCTGCCGGTCGAGTCGGGAAGTCACTCCCACGACGTGGGGTCTCAAGGCAATCCATCCTCTATACGAGGGGATCACCAACCGTGGAAGGACCAGCACCGGATGGTGCTGCTGCTGGTGGTGGTGGTGTTACTAGGCGCTGAGCGCGGGACACCGACGACCGGGAGCTCAAGAAGGTGGCTTCTCTGGAGGTGGTCCCTCTGCATATGGCTCCACTGGAGCCGTGTCAACCACTGGCGTCATGACTCCTGAGGGTCGGAGCTCCTCAAGGTACTCTGCTCGCTCTCCTTGAAGCTCTAGCTTCTGGTTGTAGAGAGTAGCCAATGGGAAGGGCTTTGTCAGATTCACATGAAAGTGTCGGGCCAACCTCGTGATGATGCCCTCCATATGGATGGTGTCCACCCTATTATGCCCCAGACACTGGGCGAAAGAGGTGGCAATCAGCGATCCCAGGTGGACCAGCTCTGCTAAATGCCTCATGGAGAAGGGAGCAAACAACCCTTTGTTCATGATCAGGTGTCCGAATGCAGGCTGGGGACGACTGAGGGCCCTGAATGCGGCCTGGTAGGGGAAGTCAGCAGTGTACTGCCGCTCCATCATCGTCATGTATCTCGTGTCGAGCCCCATGGCCTGGGTGAAGGCATCATAGGTCTGCACTCACGGGTGACCTCCCAGCATGAACTCCACATATGGCCGACTCTTCCTGTCGGTTGGGACGACGGGGATGAAGATGGGGTAGAACTCTACGCAGAGCTCGTGGTAGATGAGCTCATCCATAGAGAGCAGCAGGCGCCACTACGGGTGATAGACAACCCTTGACATTGCGGCTCGGCACCTGAACATGTTAAATATGTCCAGGTCCAGCCGTCAATGTTGCCCAATCTGGTTGTCCCTCTAGTAGGCGAACTTGTCTTCGAACCGTGGGTGGTTCACCAGGTAGCTGATGTACTCATGCTCCACGTTCAGCATCCTGCAAAATCAACAAACATGCACCATACGTGGAAATAAATGTCAATCTCAGCTCATTGGGAGGAAAAGAATTCCCCCACAGTTATATTTCCAGAACGGATCCATGCTAAGCAAAATAATTAAGCATAAGCACACCGAGATGTTGTTCTAGGTGGTCACGGAATATCTCACACAATATTTCAAACCCGAACCATGAAATGGTGGCTACCAACCACCACTCAAGCAAAACATTTCTCATCATTCAACAATTAGCACTTGGTGAGCCAATTTCACAAATAAAAGCAATTTGAATTAAAACATGGCCAGCAAGGCTCACATAAGCTCAAGCAACAACATTCAACCATTCAATCATCATAATTCACCTAACTCCTCGCCCTAACGCTAAGTTCAATATTCAATTCACCAAAATTCTCCTCACTTCACTACCTAATCCGATTCTCCCAAAATAAATAAGGTAGAACTGAAAACTAACCTGGAGACTCAAGTAGGATGTAGGAGGAAGTGAGGTGAGGGCGAGGAAGGTGAAAATTGGCCGACAAACAGACTGGAGAAGGGTCTCCGGAGCTTCGTCGAAAAAAAGATGGCCCAAATCGTCCAAAATCTCAGCGGAGGTTGCTTTTGATGAGGGAAGAATGGGTATGTGCTTGGTTTTGGATTTGGCTCGCCGGAAGTGGAGGAAATGAGCAAAACCCGTTGGATTTTTGCGGTTTTCCGGTGAGTTTTGAAAATTTCGGCGAGATTTTGGGTCGTGAAGTGAAGAAGACCGTTCATGGCCCTTTTTTAGGTTGACCCTGCATTTAACGGACGCATTTGCCAGTTCACGGTCGTTAAGATCGTGAATAATGCAGTCCGTCCGTGAACTCAGGAAACCCGATGGGTTTGACACGTGGAAGCACCTTGGTTCACGGACGCGTTTTCCTGTTCACGGTCTTACAAGATTGTGAACAGGGCAATCCGTCCGTGAATATTAGTGAAAACAGGGCACTTATGAAAAATTTTACTCGACCTATTCC